ATTAGCATTGTTTTGAACCACCACAGTATTGCTCAGTGCTATTAGACTAATGGGCACAAGCATCTCATGTAGATGTGCTCAGTAATAATGAAAACACCAGCACTTCTCAAAAGGCCCCACCAGTTTCAGTTGAATCTAATCTATATACTTTTAATCACATTTCTTCTGTCTCAAGGCCATTCTGCACAAGACTGCATGCTACCACCAGTAAATATTGTTTACTATTTCACTGTTGAATATTTTAGCAGAAACTTCCTGTTACTCTGGGATTACAGGAGAAATTTAGGTGCGCAGATTCTATAGAGATTGACAATAGCACACAGGAACCTGAAATTTTGGAGCAGATTACTTCGAGATTATAAATGTAGAAGAGTCAAGCCCCATTACCGTTTCCTCTACTTATCTGCTCCTGAATTAAGCATCCATCTACAGTACTTCAGTGAATTACATAAGAAAGGCCTGGATCAAATTCTGTCCTCAAATACATGCCCAACTCGTAGTTGATAGGGGTTGTATCAAGTTATTTTAGGACAAAAATTGGCTGCTGAACCAAGTTCACTCTTCAACTACCTCTACAGATTTCTCTCAGTTACAATAGGGATGGACTAGGCCCGCAGTATTTAGACATAGTTTATAACCTATTAAAGATGGTTACCATATTTTCCATCCTGAATAGTTGAATGCAAACTACTAAGGACAGAATACTGTGATGCTGCACTGAATTCTAGAATAAATGTATACAGATACATTTATTGAAACTATTTCTGGAAATCCAAGTTTTTTCTTCTGATCTGTACAGGAAGAATGATTTGAAAAGACATAAGATAAATAGCCAATATGATCTTGGCTATGTCTCCACTGACAGTTATAGTCAGTCCCATCCCCACTGACCATACACTCAGTGAGCTCCTGCTATCACTTGCATCCAAGCCTGCCCCTCTCTGTGGCCTGTAGACATCTTAATGCCACACTAAAAAAACCCACAATGTAGACTGCTTTTAAACAGGGTACAGGGTACAGAGTGAATAGAGGAAGGATGAACTGATTAAGGACAACCTCAAGGTTGATCCTAAATAACAGTATGGATATAGCCAAACTTGATAAAGGAATATGCTCAAATTGATCATGCCTGCATCTAATGGTTAATAAGTTGATGTCATTCTTCCTTTAGAATATGTGGTAGAATTGTGATTTTTAGGTCCTGACAATAACAAATTCTATTCCCAATAATGACCACAGTTTACATCTGCTTCTTTACAGTGGGGTTTTCAAAAGATGTTCAGTGCTGACTTAGCTTTGCATCCAGTAAAATCAAGGGGGTTGACTTTAATGGGAACAGGGTCAGGCCACATTGAATGTTTTTGAAAATTCCCCTTTTAAATTACCCCATTAATGGTTCAGTTGTGCAAGATTCTTCCTTATTATCTGAGGGCACTTAGGATCATCACTGAGTCAGCTTCTGTAATCCCAACTTTCCAATTTATTCCATTAAAAAAAAATCAAGATATTGAATTTGTAAAAATAAAATGCTCCATTTATCAAATAATTAGTAAATGACCATCTAGAAAAGAAGTTACAAGTCTTAGATTTCAGTGGCAGCATAGAGCATACGGCTATAAGCATCATGCATTTACAGCTCCAAAACTATCCATCACCTTAAAAAATCAGGTAATTAACTGAAGATCATGTTTCAAAATTTTCATTTCTTGTCAAGAAGTCATAACTGATGGCAGCCCCTTCTAATTAGCCTCAATTTGTTATTCAAAGATCCACTTAATTTTAGTTCATGCACTAAAGACTCAAATTTTCATAGGTGATAGTGGACAATCACTGAGAAGGATAAATGGATTATACCCAGAGCCTCCACAGGATAGCTTTAATTCCCATGAATATCACGTTAATTCATGCTCACCTTTCTCAGAAGAAAGCAGATGCGCTCAATATTTCTCAGTCGTTCTCGCTGTAAAAAAAATGCAGGAGAAAAGGGATTGCAGGTTAGATCCTGTTATTAATGAAATAAAAGATATTGCTAATATAATGGGTCAAAAATCATCTCTACCTTAAATACAAGCCTCAAGCATTGCATTTGGGTCAGAAATATTTCTCTCTTATTTACAGCTATAACTGTGATTTTTGTAATTATCTTAACATACCCTGCCCAGTGGTGTAGACACTGGGATGCTGGAAGCCCAGAGGTCAAGAGTTCAAGGCCATAGCAGAAGCTCCCAGGTTGCAGTCCTGTCAGATTCCAATGAATCTGCAAATTCTGCCAAACACCTTGTCACACAAGAATACAAGACAGTAAAGGATCTCAACATCCTTTTGAGTTAAGTAATTATTACCCCAAATTTCAGATGAGAAAATCTTCCAGAGACCAAACTAAGTCATGAAGTTCACTCACATTGCTAACACTTCAAAGCCAGTTTTTGTCCACACCTAAACTAGAACTGAATTGTTCCAGAAAAAACAAGGACCAAACTTTCAGATTCACATTGACTTCAGGAGTGCTTCCACATGGAGAACAAATGCAGATCTGTATAACATAGGTACTTCTATAACTAGCATATGTGTTAGCAATCGGGCTATAAGGAAGGAACGTCCAAACGAGCATGTACAGGCATTTCCCTAGGGACACACAGTAGTGGCACATATTTTGCCACTGCTAGGTCTCCCTGGGGAATGCCCCTGCACAGGTGCTCTGGCCTGCAACAAGGTGTCCCAAGTGAGGTAGGGGAAGCTAGGGCCAGCACCTGGGCTGGGCCCGGCATCCTTGCCTGGGGTCCTGGGGACCTTCTGGGGCTCTAGCAGCAGTGATTCAGGCATGTGGACAGCAGCCGAAGCATGGTTCTGGAAGGCAGACTCCAGTTTCAGGCAGTGCATGCTGCTGCCACATGTGCCAGCCCACTTTTTTTCCACTTTTTTTTTAATGGTTTCCAGGATCTCCAAGTATCTAAATTTGACTCTAGGACCAAATCACAAGCATGGAATGCATTTTGTGGCACCACAGAAGCCTTTAAGGCACCACAAAATGCACACATGCACTCATGTGGACCTGGTCTTAGAGTGTATTTGTAATGTCCTAAAATGTTTTCAATTAAATGCATTACATTTTTAATTTATATATTTCACACCTATGAGTCTTTTAAAAGAAAACCTATTTAAGTTTTTGCTTTATTTTCTTTCTGTATGCTGGGTCTGGTGTATCCTACTGTAACACTCAAATGCACGATCTTTCAATATATTTCTGTATTTATAATGTCCTAGAATGTTCCCAGTTTAATACATATACATATGCATATACATAGTGAAAGATCCTGCACTTGAGTGTTACAGCAGGATACTACAGACCCAGCATACAGAAAAAAAATAAAGCAAAAACTTACACAGGTTTCCTTTTAAAAGACTCGTAGGTGTGAAATTAATGAGCAAAATCACTTTCTGCAGTAACTAGATACAAGACTAAAATCACCGAGTTAGATTCTGATCTTGGCTACATCAGAACAGATCTGAAGTATTTTTACTGTACTCTTAGGAATTTCTCTTCATTTACCATGGTTCAGCACAGAATAAAATCTAGTGCACTGCACTCAGGAAGAAGGAGCCATCTGAAAGGAGAAGCAAATACACCTCCTCTTACAGTAAATTAGAACAGTGGCTCTCCTGAGGGACACTAATCTTTTCCTGTAGGTGTGGCAAAAGGCACCTGTACAGCAATCTCTCTTAAGCAAATAATGAAATGAAACAATTTGTGAAGGCAACTCTCTCTCAGCCTTCAGTGGTTAATCCAATGGTTTTAATTTGATTTTAGTTGGTAAAGATATTTCCCTGCACTTCCACCCAAAAAACCCTTTTTCATCCCACACATCAAATTTAATCATTTTGTCAAAAAAAAAAGTTTCAACTTGGGAAGAGTGTAGTAGGTACAAGAAAAATAAAATGTCCTTCTATGACACCTTTCTTCCAAAGAAAGAGTCATGCAGCATGACAAGATTCATGCAGCTGGCTGTCAACCTGGACAAAACTTCACTGGCTTTAGTGGGAAGTGGATGTAAGGCCAACATGGATCCTGTTCTCAGAACAAAGATGGAGTAGGGCCGGTTTTCTGAAACAGGATACAGGATCTTTTGGTTTAGGCACTAGCATAAGAGTCAGATGAACTATGTCTACTGCTCACAGTTTTCTTGTCTAATCTCTCTGTGTCTCAGATCTCTGTTCCTGACTGCTGATTCTTCTGCACCCTAAATTCTCTCTCTACTGCCTGTTAGGCAGAGATAAGCCCAGACACAAAAACAAGGCTGATTCTTAGAACAGCTCTGCTTCACATAAAGCAACATGAATAGCTGTGGTGCATGATATGAGGTAAGATAAAAATAGGAAAAAGCATCTGAATGACTTGGGCTGGTTGAGAGCAAACCTCAAAATCAGTATAGATGTACCCTTGGACCTGTGCCTCTAGGCACAAGTATGACTGAGTCTCTCATCACAGCTAATCATCAAAGCAATTTAGTACACAGGAAGTGAGTCAGTCTTGGATAAAGGAGCCATTCCACTGCTTGAGTACAAGAAAAGGATTTTAAAAGGGAGAAATAAATGTCTCTGAATGGAAGGGTGCATGAAAACCCTACCTACCCCATTACAGCTTCAGTTTCTAAGATTCTGAAGTGCCCTTGTGGCACCTTCAGCAGGAAAAGAAACTCTTTTCATAAAGAAGCTGCATGTTACTTTATCAGACTAAGATGAGATTCTAAATCAAGAGTAAGTAGTATTTTCTCTTAAAAACTACAACACATTTATTATAGACTTGTATGTACATTTCCAAACTTATGTTTGTTGATCGCTCAGTGTATCTTCTTCCATTCAGTAGCTAATGATTAGTTAACTTTAAGGTGTACTCACTGCATGAGCAGGGTTGCACTGATCTATGGGGCTTTTGAAGTCTGTCCTTAACTCATCAAAGGCGATTATCTGCAAGAAAATATTTTCAAACATTTTAACAAAAGCAGAAATTTGAGAAAACATCTATATTCTCCTTTATAAGAGTTAATAAGTCCCATTCTGACCTGCTTGGGTTGTAATTCTTCTCAACTTAATGAATTTGCACCTTTGTTTTGTATCATCTTTCTGAACAAAT